CCTGGATCAGGTGGTGCCGTGGCAAACCCTGTTTGTCTCGCCTCGGGTGCAACAGCTCGCTGCCCCAGAAAATGCTCTCTCACCTATGCCTGATGCCTCCTCCTCCCACCAGTGTCCTGTCAGAGGAAGACAGACATGCTTTACATCCTGGCTGCTTGTGATGTCAAAATACTCCACCCGTACCTTCTCCGACTGCCGCTGTACCAGTCACCTAACCCCCCAATATAAATCTGGCACCACGCTGCGGCTAAAGGTAATTCAGGATGCCGATTAGTAATGGGTGCCACATATGCCACAAACTTTCAGAAACCAATGTTCTCTACCAGAAGGAGTGGCTGGTCATCCAGGGCTGTAGGCAAAATTCCTGCCGCCGTTCCCAAGTGGCTATTTTTTTTACCACACCCGTGTTTCATATTACCTGCAGATTTTACCCAAAGAAAAACAGGATCTGATTCTGCTACAGCAGAACACACATCCTTCAAATGAAATTCACACGTGCATAGACACAAAATGTACTAACTTAGTATCTGTCACTATATAAGACAATTTTATTCCCTAATATTTCCCTGTTGATTTATGACACATTAATCTATTAAACTTAAATCTTATTCATAACTATATTCAACAAACAATATACAATGAGATGTAGAGAATGTAAATGTAAATTGAGGTTTCAGAAAAGGACACAGAGAAAACTGCTGCAGTGCAGGCTTTCACCAGAGCATATCCTAATAGCAAATGCTCAGGGGCTTTATAAGCTGCTATAGCCACCTTTCCTTTGCCTGCTTCTAGGTTTCATTGGTGCAGACAGACATCATTTACAGGTTTTGTTCTCACCCAGCCCCCTTCCCTTGGGAAATCCATGGCAACTCCAATCAAGAGACATTGAGTTCTCTGCCCCCACTACCCTTGGTGATAGAGCAGTGGTTCCCGACCTTGGGTCTTCAGATGTTTTTAGACTACCACTCCCAGAAATCCTGGTCAGCACAGGTAGTGGTGAAGACTTCTGGGAATTTTAGTCCAAGAACATCTGGGATCCCAAGTTTTGGAATCACTGTGCTAGAGTGTCATTAAGTTTGATTTCTCAAGATACTGCTCCAGAAGCCTAGTATTTTGCTTTCCAATCTATAGGAGTAAATGTGATTTAGAATATCAGGAATTATTATTACAGATATTCAGAGCTATCCAATTTAGATTCAGATATATTCAGAATTATCTGAATAGGGAATTCCGAATACTGTACTTCCAAATCTGAATGAACATCCCTATTGCAGAACTCATCCCCAAAGGAAGAGTCCACCAGCTTCCGGTTTGTGCTTCCATCAAGCAGCCCAAACTGTATTAGGCAAAAAACATCCTTTTCAGGCAGGCTTATGAGTTACATGTGTGGAGGAGTGGGGTTAGGAAGATAGAGATTTTAAATTTAATTGTTTTTAAATTATGTTTTTAATAGTGTTTAAATTTTTTTTTAGTGTTCTTATGGTATTTTCAATGGTGATTACTATATAGTTTTAACTGATTTTTCAGCTGCTTTAAGGCTTCTGTAGGGAGAAAGGTGACATAAAAATAATACAAATAAATGGATAATAAATTATAAATTATTCAATAAGGACTTCAGTCTTTAAAACTGGTTATCAGCTAGCTTTTAAAATTTTGCTTGATCTGTTTTTTAGATTTTTTAAAACATTTGTTTCAATCTGTTGCCACATAATGATTTTTAACTTGTTGTGGTGTATCACTTCGGAAAATAAACAAATACTTTTCAATGAAAAAAATGCCAGAAAGGCAGTAAATAAGTAATTTAATAAATATGTAATGAATAAAGGATATGGCATTTGGAAACTTTTTTGCCTTTAGACTAGTAGGCTCTAAGCTGTCTTTTGAATCTTCAAGACTCTGAGTCTTAGGAAATTGTAAAAGTACTATTTGTGCTGATATTTTAGTGGTAACTACTCTGATACAATTCACATTGTTATTTCCATGTTGCACCAGAAGATACTGATTGCATTTTAATATTTTTGGACTCTGCTTGAAATAACAAGTATGAGATTTGCATGCCAGGGAATTGCAAGTATTACAGAGAAATTCTTCTGTAAATAG